TCCCTGGTACGGACGGGTCACTACCTTCGACGCCCCCAGAACTGGAGGAAGAGGATGAGTTGTACCGGCAATCGCTAGAGATTATCTCTCGGTACCTTCGGGAACAGGCAACGGGCGCCAAGGACGCGAAGCCTATGGGCGCGTCGGGGGCCGCCAGCAGGAAGGCGCTAGAGACCCTCCGGCGGGTCGGGGACGGTGTGCAGCGCAACCACGAGACGGCTTTCCAAGGTAAGGGGGCTAGTCCTGAAGACCCCGCTGCCTTTTCCCTCCTTCCTGGACTCGAGTGCCGAGGGAGGGTGGATGGAAACCGAAACGAGCCAGCGCTGATAGGAGTCTGCTCCCATTTCTGAGCCCAGCATGCTCTGACCATGAGTCATTTTCCGCCCATCTGTATTCTTTGGGAAATAGCTCTGGTCAAAGCCCGGAAAGGGTGGGGTGTAGGTTTTTAAGTGAGCTCGGCCTGAGTTGTATGGAACCCAAATGAGCGATTCTCCCCCGCGGTGGGTGGGCAGGGGCATCGTGGCCGGGTTTAAACAAAGGAGACAGACCGTGAGAACCTGCATGCTTTTCTCCCTCTCAGGCATGCTTCGGAAACTGGACATCAAAAACGAAGATGATGTCAAATCTTTGTCTCGAGTCATGGTCCATGTTTTCAGTGACGGAATAACAAACTGGGGCAGAATTGTGACTCTCATTTCTTTTGGTGCCTTTGTGGCCAAACACTTGAAGAGCATAAACCAAGAAAGCTGCATAGAACCATTAGCCGAAAGTATCACAGATGTTCTTGTAAGGACAAAACGGGACTGGTTAGTCAAACAAAGAGGCTGGGTAAGTTTGCTTTTGGTGCTGGTGGTGGTTGGAGGAGTGCTCTGAGTGGAAAGGAGAATTTTATTAAGATAGGGTATCTTTAATCCTTCCCAGTTGCTGCTGGAGGTTGGTTTAGGTGGTGGTGTTGGATTGTTGCATCGAAAATTCTGGGGTTCCTATAGGTTATTTTGTGGATCTTTGAGTCTTTTGCTTAGGGTAGAGTCAGAGTTGACTCTGGCAGTGGGTTTGGTATGGTTTGAAATATTACAAAGATTCTACTGTAAAATCATTATTATGGGTAGTCGGTTACTTGTTTGGATGGATTGAAAAACTAGGGAAATGACGTTTTTTTGCAGCCCAGGAATGAATAATTGGTTCACCATTGTGTTTGGGGAAAATATAGTTATTTTTATATGGAAACCCATACTTGAAAATGTTTTTCTTTTTTGTTTTCTAGGATGGGTTTGTGGAGTTCTTCCGTGTAGAGGACCTAGAAGGCGGCATCAGAAATGTGCTGCTGGCTTTTGCAGGTGTTGCTGGAGTAGGAGCTGGTTTGGCATATCTAATTAGATAGCCTTGTAAGTGCAATAATTGACTGAACCAACTCCAGCAAAACAATAAACTTCTATATTAAATGTATTTATGAAATTGGACATCACGGTGCCCAAGCTGTAACCTCCAACAGTGCTATTCTAGCAACCTCGCTAGAAAAAAACAACTTGGCAAGAGGAATATGACCAATGGAAATAAATACATGGGAAAAGCAGTCTTTCCAGGAAGAGTCACTGTATGAAAGGAGAAAAGTTCCATTTCAACTACAGGCAAAGGGGAAGCAACGGAGGACTTTTAGGTTAGTGAAGATGGTAGAGTGGAAAGGCTTAATTTCTTCATCTAGAAGAGTAGCTAGTCATAGAATTCATTTAACGTGCCCAGTGAATTCATTAACTTGCTGTAGTGTTGAAAAAGATTCATTAACATTGTCGGTGACTTTTGTAAAATGAATTTAAGCTACAAGTAGTAAGCTCTGACTAGAAGCCTCAGTACTGTACAACAGAGTGTGGAGGGAATCTTTGTCCTCTCTAATTAGCTTTCCCAGGTATGCTTGATGAATATAAAGTCCAAATGTTCAGGACTTTTCTACCTGTCCCACTTTGGCTTAGTTTGAGTATATTAGCCTAGTTATGGCCAAGAATACTTGACTTAAGGCTCAATAATTATTAAAGTTATAAATATCAATTTTGAAAAATGAACAGCTTGTAATTTTATTTGTCTGTAAAAATTGTATATATTTTTACAGAAGATTTCTTTGAAAAAAAGGGAGAAATCTCTTAAATTTACATTCGTTTTTGTGTGTTTTTTTCCCCCCCCACAATCGCAGCTTCTGAAGTTGGGAATTATTTTTTAGTTTTTCTATTCTATAGTTTGACAATAGTAGAGCATATGCCGAATCGTGCATTCAAAGTGCAGTTCTAAGTTTTTAGGGGGAGTGCTGATGACTTAAGACAGTGGGCTCTAATTGGGCATCTTGAGTGTGTGTGTTCCTTGTGTTTGACTTAATTTAAATTGAGTTGCATG